AGCAGGCAGGCAGTGCTATCTGGCAGGCAGTGGCTCAGTTGTTTCACTAGTGAGCAAAGGAAGAGTGCCCTGCACAGCACAGCTAGCCAGGGCTGGCCCATCACAAGCGCTGTGGCTGGCTGGAGCAGGACACGAGCCCTCTCCGTTCCCAGCTCGAGTCTCAAGCAAGCAGTGCGCTGAGCTGGGCACACTGTGACTCCCACGGGGGCAGCGGGAGCGGGCAGACAGTCTGACCTCCCACCTCTTCCTCGGGCCCTGGTGCCTGACTCACGGCTCACTAAATGGCACTAAATGGTTTCCTTTGAGTGGGCACTTCACCACAAAGGGCAGACTAATGCAGGGAGGCACTTCCTACCTTCCTCCACCCCTCTTTAAAAGCGCTGTGGCTGGCTGGCTGAAAGACTCATGGGACTGCTGAAAAGAGCAAAGAGGACAGGCCTGACAGCGATGCAGTGAGGAGGGGCATGTCCTTGCCAGCTGCACCATCCTGCAGCTGTGAGGGAGCCACAGGGGCAGGTCAGGGTCTACAGAAAATGGGAGTGGGAACCATGAGTAGCTGCCCAGAAACAGGGATGCCCTCTGACTTACTGGCTGCTTCCTGCTTCCACTCAACACTTGGGAGGGATTTTAGTTATACAGCACCTAGAAAAGAGGAAAGAGCAAGAGATATTCTGTAATTTGCTCTGCTGAAGGTGCTGGTGCAGTTCCTATGCAGTCATGATTTGTTTTTGTACAAAATAACCTCCCTCTTCTGTAAGGGTGGGCAAGGCTGAAGATGGAAGTGGGAAGGACAAAGGGAAAACGCTCTGATGTCCCAGTGGCAGTTCCAGTACAAAGTGAGGAGGAGGAATCAGGGCTCTAATCTTCATTTTGCAAAGTGAGAGGGTGTGAAAATATGAGGGCAGGAAGAGACCAGGAGGGCAAGGCTTTTGCTGCCTGGAATTTCCCCAGCTTAACAGATCTCCATCTGCCCCCAAGTTTCACAGTTGTGAACGAGGAGAGAAGCTTGCTTTCACTTACATCGCATCAGTATCTAAAAACTGCCCATCTTCAGGCTTTCCTAAGTGTGAGAGAGACCCACAGACAGTGAGCTTATTTCTGCAGGTCAGCTTTGGTGGGCACAGCAACAGCTGTGCATGGGCAGCATATTTTGCTCTTAACATAGAACGTGTATGCCTGGCTCTGGCCAGCGCAGTGCCAATTAGTGCCAACAACTTTTACCAAGTTACAACACAAATCACCCTTCTCTTGCTAGAACTGCCCATGTAATGTGGTATCAGCTAATGAGAAGTGTCCCTGGCCCATGACCCTGGTCACTGGCACAGGGGAAGAGCCACGTGTTGTCAGGAAGGAGCAGGGAGCGCAGTCAGGAGGCAGCTTCTGGGCTGCGTGGCTGCACCGTGGCTCCCGTTGGCTCTGGCAGCTGCTCCGTGAATTCCTGCTCAGGCTGATGGGCCGTGATCTGCCCATGGCCCAAGCGACGGAGGCTGCAGCATCGCACGGCACCAGCCGACTGCACAGCACGGAGCAAAGGCGGGAGATCCAGCCAGTGTGAAGGTTACTCTTCCCCATGCTATGTTAAGCAGACAATGCCACATAAAATACAGGCTATCTTGGGTTTACATATATAAATGTTACATAAATGCCATGATTAATTGGTAATGAATGCTTAGGGAGGAATTATCTCTATGAATACAGCCTGAAACAGTCACTTTTCAGTCTGTAGACTTGAGACTGTAAATATCAAAAAAAAAAAAAATCCTCTCAAGGTAACCCACTGCTATTAGGACCTAAAAAGAAAGGGCAATGTGCAACATGAGTCATTCCAAACCTACTGCAGTTCCCATGATGGCAGCAGCGCCAGCACCTTAATCGCAACAAGATTTTACTGGATTTCTTCACAAAGAAAATTTAGAAATAAGCCAGGTGGCTGCTCATCCAGGAGGGGACTGAAGCAGCTCAGTTTGTTGGCAATAAAACCACCCTGCTTGCCCAAGTCTGCTGAGACCTCTCGGTAAGTTTATGAGCAGAATTGTAAGACACAGAGAATAAATTACTTTTAAAAAGAGAAGACAACACTAGAACTGGCAGAAGGAAGAGAGATTTGATAAGACGGGAAGTGACATAATCTAGATAATCATCGAATTAGAAGGTAACATGCAGATTTTTGGAGCTGGTGAGAGAAATTCTCTCTTCTCGTACTGACACCTTGCCCAGGAGGCTTTCTCAGGCTGCTGGGAGCAGCAAAGACCTGCCCTGTGCCCCTGGCACAGCTGGGCGAGAGGGCTGGCTGAGAGGAAGTGTAACACCAGTTCCAAACCAAAATCCTGCAAGGAAAATGCAGTTTTTCTCATATCATAGCTTTCACCTGGGGGCAGAGTCTCTGACAGTTGCTTTTAGGGACTTATCCTGAGCCGGCAGAGAAGATCCTGCAGAGCAAGGAGCGAGTGCTGGTGCTGTGGTGCTCCCCCATGGTCCTCCTTCTGCTTCATGCCGGAGCGCTGCTCCTCCTCGTGCTGCAGGGCACAGCTTCCCAGGCACTTCCAGGTTTACCTGGAAGTAAACGTTATGTGCTCCCAGAGCCTTGTGCATCCCAAATGCTTGTAAAAGTAGTGCTCATTATCAGACCCTTGATTTTGTTTACAGAACAAGTTTTGTTTACTTCAGTTCACAAAGGAAAGCCACCAGCTTTAATTCTCCCTCAAAACAAAACAAAAGGGAAGTGCAGGACTCAGAGTGGCTTGGTGCAAATTTTTGCAAAGTAACCAATACAAAATCAGAACAAAACAGATTATACATACATGTAAAACAAAATAAATTCAAGTTAAAACCAGGACTATCTTCCTATTAGCCCCAGAGATGATGATCCAAGAGTGTGCCAGGAAATAAATAATTCATTCTCATCATAAAAGATGAATGCACTCACTAATCCAAGTGGCTTGAATAATTACAATAGAGAAACGGGGTAAAGGAAAAACAGAAGAAAAGCATCTGCAAGAGCAAACTGAAATGCTGCAGAAGGATCACTTCCCCACATGCCAGGCGAAGACAAGGCAAGAAATCACTGCAAGTGGGCAACAAAACTGCCTCAAAGCAGGATGGCCTCATCCGCCCCATGCTGGAGGGAGCGCGCCAAGGCAACACTAGTGCAGGCTCCCCAGTCCTGATGCCCTTGCAGGGGCTGTGGAGCCCCATCACTACCCATGGCCATCCTGGGTTGGCCTGATCAGTTGATTTTGCAAGTGGGAAGACAATTCAGTCTAGAGTCCATCTAAAAGAAAGATTAGAAAGATTACTCAAAAGTAGTTTGCGCTAAGGTGCAAGAAAAAGTAGGCCCTTTCCAAATATGCCTTGCGACAATTGTGAACCTCAGGAGATACTGATCTACTTTCTTTTTGCTGCACATGCCACTAGGGCCAGATCCGGACAGGTCTGAGCTGTGCTTCCACTGCAGGTGCTGGAGCCTATGAGGCTTAATGCCAAAAACAGGTATGGCACAGGTGCTGTAGTTAATGGCATGGCATGCAAAAAAATAAAAGGTCCTGAAGGCTCATCTAGTCTTCTGTTTTCCTTGTCAAGATAGATTTATTTATAGTCAGTACCACAGGGACAGGGTTCTAGTGGCAGTGGTGCTATAGCCATATTTTTAATCGGATTTGACATTTAGGGCAGCAATTCAGTTCACCTCTAAGCCTGTAATTACACTTGCAAATCTGCTTAGCTAGGCATCAGCAGGGCATCCCAGGGGTCTGCTCGAACAGATTGGTTGAGTTCCCACAGAAGCAGCGTTTGAGTACAAAGTGATGCTGTAAAGAGGACTGCAGTGCCTGACACAGGCACATTTGCAGTCCGTGAGAACTGGACCCACTTTTGATCTTCAAAACTAAAACAAAAGCAGAGACTGCAAATAGCCCTTGCTTTATCTGTAAAGAAATACTGCACTGAATCAAACACCGCTGAATCAAACCACTGAAGGTCAGAAGTACTTCATGGGTATGCTATAAAGACAGAATACCTGGTTATAGGTAGCTAGCTGGTTATATCTTTGGTCTCACAACATCCACAAGTACTAGAGGTGCCAGAAAGGCCCAAGGATGAAATCCTTCTGTCAGCTTGTGCCCTGGAGTCATGATGGTCCAGTCCTGAAAAGCATCTTTACATCTTCCTCACAGCAGAAGTGCAGACTCTATTAAGCGTTTCCCTTTTGAAGGAATCCATTTAGATATACAATTTAGGGCAGCCCTACCAACACTAAAGTTTCCAAGAGAAATTGATGATAAATGCCAAAATGCTGAGGACTATATTCTGCCCACACTATCCCCTGCCTTTGCACCCTATTTACTACCCCTAAAGATACCACTGGAACCAAATAAAGTACTTGTAGAGTACTAATCTGGGCCTCCATGTACATCCAGTTCTATTCAGCTTTGTTGAGATTTGGACTTTTTTATCCATACTCAAAGGAGGCCAAGAAAAGGATCTCCTTCTCTCACAAGGTGAGTAGATTTTTCTGCAAGATGCAAGTGGGTTTACGCCTGACTTCAAAAACGCAACCACTGCCATCCTAGTACCAGATGCAGAGAGAAGGTTTAGCACTCTGCTAAACACTGCACTCCGCTACAGAAGCACTGAGCAAACAAGCCGTACAGATTTGGGAAAGATGGACAAAAGCACAACGAGGCCAATTTGTGTCATACCAAAGAAACAGAAGGAAAACTGAGGCCAAAAGGCTTGGGCCACTACGGGAAGAAAGTTTACAGAAGACAGACGGCAATGTTCAGCAATGAAACCTTTGTAGTCCTCAGTGCTTGTCTAGGAGTAGCCTGGTACCTCCATCAACAACGATCCAAGTCAGGAAACATAAATCTACAGAGCATTTCCAAAGAGACCTATGACACCCCACCCAAACATTTCAATGATGTAAGCAAAGATCGTATTCTCCTCTTTTCCCAGGGGACATGACAGGATAATTTCTCCAGCTTAGCACATACAGCTCTTGTCTCCTCAGCAAGACTTCTTCTAGCTGACAGATGTGCAGTTCAGCTCTGCAGTGTCCTGTCTACCTGCTGCCATGACTGCTTCTGGCCCATCAGCAATGCTGGGCTCACTGGAGCACTGCCTGTGGCTGAAACTGGCCTGCAGGAGGAGGCACTTGTCGTTACTGTCTGACTCTTCAATGACCATTCCTGTGTGCATCATGGAGGCCATTGCCAGGAGCTGAATATCGGAGTGAGCATTGGCAACCGTGTGGCGCCGAATGCTGCCGCACTTCTCCAGGTAAGCCTCACCCTCCTGCTCTGTCAGCGGCGTCAGGGCCATCTCACTGGGCTGCCGACTCGTCACCATTTGAGATGAATAATTCAGGATACCAGGCTTAGGACGTGATCTGGAGTACCTTCTCTCTGGAAGACAAAAAGGAATGCAGGAGTGATCAAAAAGATACAGATAAAGCATTATGCCAAGCTGCTAGGCTGGCCACAGGACACAGGCAGGATTCATTTGCAGCCACACTAGGTTTCCCTTCTCATCATCCCTGAGGAACACTCAAATGCAGTTTAGTTCTTTCTGCCATAGGTTTTGAAAGCAGCTCTACTTCCTCCTCAGTAAGGATATAGCTCCCACCTTGCTTCATGGCAACAGTGCTCTTACCTACAAGAGAAGCAAGATGAAAAGTGGTGGTTACAGCAGCGAGACATCCTGATTAGCATCCTGATCGTCTTCTTACTTAAAGAGAGGGTGAGAGCAAAGCAGGAACTCTCGTATGGATGTTCACTGGAATCCTCAACTGGTGCAAGCAAGGGGAAACAAGCTCTCTCAAGGGGAAACAAGCTCTGAGAGAAAAACTCTCACTTTTTACTCTCCACTTATGAAAAATCATCCCTCAAAGAAACATTCAGTGATAAGGTAGAGCCATCCCTTTCTCTAGAAAATTTCTCTCAAGAGATGCCATTAGCAGGCGTCTGTATGAAATTTCTGACATTGTACCACTATTCCATCTGCCTAGGGAAAGGCTGTTTGTTTGGCTAGTACCATCCCACTGTACTTTCTAAAGACCATGTACAAAAAAACTCCACAATTCATCCACTTGTGAAACATGGGTGCTTTGGGGTAAGACTATCGTATTGTATGGGGAAAGGCTAAGTGAGCTGGGCCTGTTTATCCTAGAGAAGAGATTGAGAGGAGATCTGATCAACATGTACAAGTACCTGAGAGGTGAATGTAGGGAGGATGTGGCCAAACTCTTCTCCGTGGTGGCCAGTGACAGGATAAGGGGTAATGGGTGCAAGTTAAAACACAGAAAGTTCCACCTCCATATGAGGAAGAATTTCTTTCCTGTGAGGGTGCCAGAGCCCTGGAACAGGCTGCCCAGAGAGGCTGTGGAGTCTCCTTCTCTGGAGATTTTCAAAACCCACATGGATGCCACCCTGTGCCACGTGCTCTAGGTGTCCCTGCTGGAGCAGGGAGGTTGGACTAAATGATCTCTAGAGGTCCCTTCCAACCTCAGCCATTTTGTGATTCTGTGACATTGAAAACACCTGAGCGTGCACAAGAATGCCACACAGGAACGCCTGGGGTGAAAGGTGCAGAGGCAGAACGCAGTACTTGTGGAGCACTGCCAACGGTGCACAGCAACACAGCAACATTGCAGGAGGGGTCTAAGAGACGGCAAAGCATTCAGAGGAAAAAAAAAAAAAGAGTTTTCTGGATTAAAACTCAACCCCAAGGTGCTGTATCATGAAGCACCATTTCAGTTCTGACATTGAAAACACTGACAAGCAGAGGTCCGAGTTTGTGTCCTGGCCTCACTGTAATTTGCTCCCCTAGCACATTTAATCAGGCAATATTACTTTTTGCCTGCTGTCCGCAGCTGCTGCGCAGCATGGCTATGTATGGTTAAACATCTCCTGTGATCTCTCGCAGCAGCAGCTGATCAAGCTGTTCCTTATCTATCTTTCTGTCTGCCTCCCAGTTTCTGAAAGGGCAGGGTCTCAATTCATTAATTCAGGAGCCTTTTAGACCATGTAAAATCCTTCCACCGAGACTTTAGAGCACAAGCAACAGAGTAACAAAATGAAAGCAGAAGTACCAATCACTGAAGGTTATGAAACACTTTTGGAAGCTTGCATCAGTATGAAAGGCAGAAAACAAACTTTATATTATTACAGGGAGAAACAGGTGAGCAGCCAAAACTCCACCACTGGCAGCAGCCTAGCTATGACAACAGTTCACCCTGCAGCTTCCAGCAGTACATTCATTCAAAAGGATTCTTTTTTTTTTCTAAGAATACATTAAAATAAGTTTTGAGGCCAGTTACAACAGCAAATATACTCTTAGGGTGTGCGCTAGAACTCAGTCCCCAGCAGGTTGCAGTGCTGCAGGCCTGGGGGAAGGTAATTCAAGGGGGAGGCATACAGGCATCCCTCTCCTCCTGGCCCTCCTTGCTGCCCTGCCAGGAGGTACACGCGGGACACAGCAGTTGAGCTCATCAGCACAGGGCTGGTTTGTAGCACTGGCACCACCTAAACCCACCCACAGGGTTAGTGCTGGGGTACTGCCCATGCCCGCTTCAGCTTCATAAAACATTCATCTAGCATAGACAGGACTAAAACTGCATGTGAGGAGTTAGCAGCAGCTGCTTCTCCGCCTTCACTACCAGGGCTTGTTCATTTCCGACTTCTGTGAACAAAGTCAAGTATTAGACACCAGAAGAAAGAAATGAATGGTGAGGGTAGTTATTTACCTTAACTTGAATGACCCAAATCCTTAAAAGTATTTCGGTGTATATCTCCTATCTATATTAGGTTAGGTGTGTATCTCCTATCTGCATTAGGAATGCTCAGCTTGAAGCTTTAAGAGCTTGTGGGCTGAGAGGAAAAAGCAAACTCAATGACATAACATAGTGGTTCATACCAGTCCCCCACCACACAAATTATTATTAAGGTTGTGACTATTTTGCAATGGCTTCAGCTGTGCAGCGATATCTTAGCTAGGTAGAGCTGAAGAAATCAAAGTAAACCAAGACATGCAAAAAGCATTTTCCAGACTGTTACTGCAGATCTGTAGGCAAGGGCAGAATATTTCTTCTTCTCTTTTCCTTAACACATTAAAATGAAAATAGGCCTCGCTTATACAGGGATAACTTAGAGCCCTTCCCATCCCCCCCAAAAACAGGATATACAAGAGAAAGAACAGAAAGAAAAGCCATAGTTATGTCCTAATGTGCACTTAATAAATAAATAAAAATATTCCCTTGAGAAAAAAAGTGCCAGTTTTGTGTGTAAATTTTCAATGTTGTTGAAAGAGACAAGTCTGATGAGCTGAGAGATTAAAGTCCACTAGGAGCAATGCAGGAAGTAATAATGTAAAATGACTCCTGCTCAGCCTGCTCCTGGCCTTCACCTCAGCTGGGAAAGGGGGTGCCTGTTGTGTTACCTCTTTGGTAGCTGTGGCAAAATTGTCAGCTAGTGTTATCAGTGACATCAACAATTGTGGCAGTTTGCAGACCAGCCAGCCAGTCTAAATTCAAAATCTCATAGACGCATACAGGCTGTATATAGGTGTGTGCATGTGGGTACATATACACACTCACAAGCACAATGCACAGAGAAGATGCATATGTCAATGCTTCAAAGCCTGGTGTCACTAAACTTTTGAAATCTAATATGAATGTGGATGGAGAGACTGAAAAACCTGTGGTACAGAGGGAAACAGAGCAATTTAAAAGACCGCACTGTTCCCCCCAGACCTCTATCAGCATGGAAACAGGAGCACTGCGCTGCCTCCTGTGTGAAAAATAAAACAGAAGTCCTTCAGGGTCTGATTACCCTGAAGTAACTACTGCAGCCCAGATATACTGCAGTGAGAGTGAAGACATACTTGAGCTCAATGCAGAACGGAGCCGCAACTGCAAACCCACGCAGGCAGTGGGGCAGACACGCAGCTAGCCCGCGCTGGGGCCACGCTGCTGCTGTGAACACTGCTCACCTCCACCCCTCAGCTAGTTAGCAGCGAGTGCAGCTGTGCTCCGTGTAGGCCAACGTTTAGTCAGCATTCTTACGGCAGGCAACCACTATCAGTAGTTTATTCCCAGTCCTTGAAAAATCCTCATCTAATTTATTTTGGAGAAATTAAGCTTTAACTCCTCTCCTCCCTATTTATGAGCTGCTCTGTTTCAACCAAGCTGTCAAATTCTGCACTAAAAACAGTATTATTTCACCAGGCTCTTCTTGTAGCCATGATCTTTTGAGATAAAGATGCTGCTTAAATACATATGATGCTTTAAATCCAGATGACTGAACAAGATAGCAGAAGAGTTAACTAAGGGCAGAAGAGGTCAGTTTGGAAAATCACAGTGCTTCTCCCTGTCTACTGGAATTCACTAGGGCTATTTAAACTGCAGGTTACTCACTTCACAGAGATGGGATAGGGAAGAAGCAGAAAAGGCTATTTTATGGGGTCACTATCTAACCTTACTTCTCTAACTTAGGTTTTGTAGTGTCTTCAGGTGTCTTTAATTTGTTTAAGAGATCTGGATGTCAGATCTCAGTATTATGTACTTCCAATTACACCTTCAAGCTGTCAATTTATAAAAACAGCAACAAAAGTTACTGGGAACTTTCTCCTTTGGAGGTTCATGTAAGGACATTTTCCCCCAAAATTCAAGAGCACTGACAACTAGGCCAAATGGAATTTGGTGGACAGCAACACTGTGAAAAAGGAGTAAGGCAGAGGTGATTTTGAAATGAAGAATGATGCAGAAATTCGTGTTTTAGTTCTGCCTGATTTCCCAGTCTGCTAGAGGTCTTGGACAAATCCCTTGCACTTCATTTCTCAATGATAGCAGGCACTGCTTTCTTAACTTTTGCAATATTTTAGTTCACATATTTAAGAAATTTTCAAGTATTTAAGAAATGTATTCATTAAGGAAGGGATTGCTGAGAAGAGCCTGTCTACGCTCATCAGGCACATTCCAGCCTCGTTCTTCTTCCCCGGACTTGGACTCCTAGGTCCAGCTCTCTTCCCATGCTTCATCCTGACTTCAGAGATTGTTGCTTTAGGTGGGGATACTGCCTTCTACAGTTCCCTCTGTGAGCTGTCAGGTCCCCTTTCACACGGATTCCTGCAGCACACCTCTCCCGCTTTAAATCAACAAACACATCGAAGCACAGCAGGGAGCAGAGGCCTCCTGCAGCCACATTTCTCAATGCTCTTTCATCTTAAAGTGTCCAATCCAGAGGGAGGTTTGGATTCTACAACATCCATTGGGAATGCAAGTATATTCGAAGCCCAGTAGGGCTACAAAAGCTACTACAGAGACTCTGTGTGGCAGGGAAGCCACTGGGATTCATCACTATGGACTGCCCAGGGAGAGAAGAAACTGGTTCTGAGAAAGTACAGAGATGACAGAAAAAGTGAAAGAGGAAGAGCAAAAAATTGTTTAGAACTGGAAGCTAAGCATAAGAAATCACAGGAGCCCTTTGAAAATAACAAGACTATCTGCAGAAGTGCTAGTCTGCTGCCAGTGCTGGGTAATGCAAACACAAGACCTCCCTCTCCTCCTCCTGCTCAGCATAGGGTGGAGCAGGGGCAAAAGGCCACCTGGGAAATATACACAAACAAATGACAGCTAACACCAACCAAAAGCAAAGATTTTAAGGGACATAAACTTTACAAGGCCAATTCATGTTTTTTTTTTTTTTGTGATACTAATGGCTTGTTTAGTAGGTAGAAAACCAGAATGGCTGGAATCAGGCTTCTATATTTCAAACTATCCCAGCAGCAGGCAGTCATCCATAAGCAGCCAAACACTCAAATCTATCCAAGCTACACTTTTATGGGAGTTATGTGGTCTAACTCTAGCCTCTGGATCAGGTCTGCCAGAAATCATGCCATGAATTTGTTACAGACACAGGCACCCCAAGTTCTACTAAGTCCTGCTATTACCTGACCAACTTCCCCTGTGCTGTTAAGGTGTAGTAAAAGGCTCTGTGTCTGCAGATATCTGAAGTCCTCAGTGATTGTATTATAGCAAGGCCTAAATATTATAAAGTGTATAAAGAATTGGAGCTTTCTTCACTTCTTTTGAAATCTTTGTCATAAAGTCAGTTATCACTATGCTCATTTCTAAGCTGATCAATCTTTTCTTGCTGGACACACTCAGAAGCTGCACTCCTGGATCATGTGTGGAGAAGTTTTCCACTATGAGCATTCCCTTCCTGAAGTGCAGTGCCAATTCTCTCCCCTTGGTATATTTTTGAAAGAAAATGAAAGACAGAAAGACAGAAAGAAATCCCTCAACATGAGCAGCTAACAGTCTTACTGGTTGTGAAGTCTGGCAGATACAGTAGCTAGCTGAACTAGTAAGCAGGCACAGACAGCAGGCAGGAAAGGAGGGTGAGGTCAGGACGCCAGACATGAACCAGAGCAGCTTTCAAACCAAATCCACCAAAGAGAGGCGAGGGATTTTTCACAAGTTTGTGCAGTGGTGGGGTCATAACAGATCACTCCGTCACGGGAAATAAAAAGCCTTTCGCAAAAAAGCTACACTCAGAATTTCTGTCTTGTGCATTGCCTTGTACTAGACCCTTTCGCAAAAAAGCTACACTCAGAATGTCTTGTGCATTGCCTTGTACTAGATCAATAGGTCTACCCTAACAAGAGTGTGCAAGAGCTTCTGTAGAGAATGTGACTTACCAAGGAAGCAGGCACTTCCAGAGAAGCTCTGATCCTCACACAAGCCCAAGTAGGGTGATACCACCTGTTTGACCAGTTCTTCCAGCTGCAGGTAGCCCTCACTGGGGCCAGTAGGCTCATGGACACTCTGAAATTCCATCATGAAAAACCCACATTATGCTTTTATAATTTTGAATACAGTATTTATAAAGTGTATAACATAAATACATACAGGAATACATATGTATGCACACACATATATGTATGTCTGTCTGTATATATGACTTCTAGGAATCAGAAGGGCTGGGATCTCCCTCCAGGGGAGGGAATGTCTCTGCACTGAGCAGTGCAGCTCTCCGCTGGTACCTGAGTAGAAAGGCTGGATCTGTGACAGGGAACAGGACAACACTTGGAGAAGCAGAGCTAATTAGCCCCAAAAGAGTCTGAGGCACTATTCAGGTTGACCATCTTGTCCAAGTCCTAACCCTGCTCCTATGGATACTGAGCAGCCATCTGTCTTCTTCTGGCCAAGGGAGAGGAAGCTGTCAGGCATGCTCACACCGAGCGTGTACACGATGCAACTACAGTGGAGCAATATAATTATACCAGGGCAGTTCTGCCAGGAAATATCTCTGTGTGGACAGGCCTTAACACAGCTTGGGCAAAGGATATCTCACACCCTAGATAAGACTGCAGGAAAAATACTCACTGAAGTTCAGCTTACAAGTGTCAAGGTGGTAGATAACTCTAATCAATTTAACAGTAATTTCAGAGAGCTTTTACAGACTTAGTTCCTGCAAAGCCTCAATCAGCTTTTCTTTATCACTATGGGATGTGTCACTTGGAGACCCTCTTTTCCTTCAAATCTTTTATTAAAATATTACAGGGAAATTCAACTTTTAATAGCTCCTGTCATTGTAGTCTGTGGTCACTGGGAACATTAAAACATTGATAACTCACATAAAATACCAGCTTGGCCACTTTTCCCTCCCACTTGGTTTGCACTATAGTGAAGGGGGAACAAAAGCCAGAGACAGCTGGAATCTGGTATTTTCTGTGTCTTTCAGGTCAGACCATATTAAAAATGAAACATCTGGTATACTTGGCTGTCAATGCCATGACTTTACCATAAAAGCAAGTGTCCTCCTAGGTTCTGGATACAAAGGACAGTCCTCACAGAAGCTTTATGTCCCTTGGAAAAGGCCTTTGGAAGACCTACAGCATTTTGCCTGCTGCCAAAAGATATTCCTTTTACAAGCTAAGCTAAGTGTCCCATCTACCTGAGGAAGACTAATATTAGGTGGTCAGCAGTTACAGCTTGTCTGAATACCATAATGAGGTAGACTAGTCCTGTCATTATATGACAATTCTGGAGGCCTAGTACCTAAAGAGGCATTTAGAGAAGCTGCGAGTGGGCAATTTATGCGACAAAAGAGCCCTGTGACTGTTCCCAGCTGTAGAGCTGACATATGAAGAAAAGTACAGACACCGAAGAGTAGAATCTGGTCCTCCCACGAGTAAGGACTATCCTTACCTGTTGCCAAGAAAGCTCATAACATTTAACATTCCCCAAAATGCACATAAAACTTTCCCTTCCTCACACCCTTTATCGTCCCTACTCTCCTTTCCAGGGTTCATGTCATTTGGATGAATGCAGGAATGTCAAGTGGAACCAAGCAAAGAAAAAAAAATCCCCACCTGCAGAATTAATAGCATTTGGACAATGGAAGCTGGGAGCTTTGTCTGGACCAGAGGTAGGATCTCTTCCAACTTCACTTTTAGCAAGACCAAGTCCCTGAAGCCAAGAAGAGCAATCTGACGGATTGTTAATTCCTGACCCTAAAAACACAGAAGGAAAAAAAATAATTGTTAGTAAAGGGGCATGTGAGCACAACACCAGTAACACCAACATGTGTAACCACAGAAAAAAGGACCCCATCTTGCCAGTTGCTGCTGTGGTAAAGCACCCACCAGCTGCTCGACTCTTTATCAGTTAATCGCTGTCCCACACAAACTGTCATATGAGTAATACCTCACCTGAGGTGCGACTAGGTTTGGAGTGAAACCAAAAATGAGCCTATATTTCACCAAAAGACTACATGTTCATATCAACTAACTGCCAAACAAGCTAGTCACAGACATCTGAAACCTAGAATGGAGGCAGCCAGTGCTTTTGCCCCTCTGAGTTGATACACAGCAACAGAGTTGGTAGAGGAGAAGCTGGTACAGAATACTCCTTATGTAAGTCTACTTCTGGTCAGTGTTAGATCCTTTCTTTGTTCAACATTTGCACTTTAAAACTAGCTGATATGATAAAAATCTACAATTCAACCCATTACACTTAGCACTCAGGCTGGAACAAAGCTAGTTGCTTCTAGCAACACCATATAAAAACAAGTGAACAGAGGATGAAAGCAAAAGCTTTGATTTTACCACAAGGAATTTTGTGTCCTCTGGATTTTCTTTTTTAACATCAACACACAAGCAATCAGGTTCAACAGATGAAAATGTTGCAGGCTTTCTCAGCAAATTCAAACAAAGCTGAACTCCAGTCAGCACTCCAGTGTTACTGTTACCTTCTGCTAGGCTTAGGGCATCCACGACTTTCTCTTGCCCCATAGCAGCTTAAGTTAAATGCAGAAATCTTCTTCCCAGCCCTGTTTCCCAGCCAGTCCAGCCCAGAACTTTCCAGCTTGAAGAGTTCCCCTTGTTCTCTCCAAGAAGTGGAGTGTGTTGATCTCTGCCCTATGCTCTATTTTGGAACCACTTTATAGTCTCCATAACACATTCATTGAGGCAAATACTTGGCTGGAAGGAATTAACACTGGTTAATCATTAATTCAAAATGGTTTTAATGTCATAATTAACAGCATCATTAGTATGCAAATAAGATCTAAAGCCAATAGTGAAGGCCAACTTGACCACAATAAAAATCCTTTGCTATTCAAAATCATCAATGTATGTTTGGAAAAATCAAGATGTAGAAAAGATCGGTACAAATCTCTGAACTCAGCCACTGCTCATTTCTTATTTCTATCATGCAGTTTAGTCCAACTACTTTCATATTCCACTTCAAAACGCAAATGTCTAACTATGTCATACAAAAACAACAGGATTTGCTATTATTTCTTCACACCAAGTAATTATATCAGCAGCTGCAACTATACAAATGTTTACATACTTTCCTTCTGTACAGCGATTTAAGCAACTTGGCTGCTTAAAGGTCATATTTCTGCAACCACTATAAGCCTCAGGTTTAAACTTAGCTGAGATAGGAAGTTACTTCTGCTTACTCCCAGCACTAACATGCTCACACATTTGGCTGGTTTACTTTCATTCTGAATGGACAGTTACTGGGATCACAGAAGAACTCAGCTTAATGCTTACACTGACATTTGCGGCAAAGGAGTCCCAGAAGACGGGACCAACAAAGGCACCTCTCATTGACTAGAGTAGTCCATGAAGAACTGGGACTTGGTGAAGGAGAGTTGCTAGCTGATCTCGCTTTACAGTTGGTGAAGCACCATATAAAAAGGTATATACAGTTCCTTATTTGCAGGATGAGGCCAAACTTGTTGTTGGGGCACTGGCCAGGAATTAGAGTAATCCTGATTCATTTTCTCCCTACACTAACAATTAACCCTGTTGTAGCCTTAGGCAACATACTTCAAATCAGATTCTTAGGGGTTTTAAATTCCATGCATTTGTGTAGAATTGAGATGCTTGTATAGCTGTAAGTATCCAATGTGCCACCTTTCCATTGTTTATCTGGAAAATGACAATACTTCCCTAACTTCACAGAATCTACAAAACATTCTTGAGAGACTCGGGTATGGTGACAACAGAGACACAGCAAGAAAGTTGAGTTTTCAAATAATCTTTCACCATCACCAAATGACTTGTGAAAGCTTCACCACCACACAGTAATCTTTGTTCAGTTTCTTGTCAGAGACGTCACAACAATTGAGTGGATTTTGCTGGTAAATGGCATAAACATTTGCATCAATGGGTATGGCACATAGCTAGCTCAGATGTTCCTATACTGCACACAAACTTGCCGCAGTGCAGACAAATCCCTACTAATACAGATCAGGTCACTCAATGACTACAAATTAGTTGTAAAAGGAGAGAATGGGGGGATATTGGAATTGTGCAGTTTTACCTGTCAGACACCTACCTTTAAGCATCTGCAGCAAGGAAATAAAAATAAATACAGTGAAAAGGTTAGTGTCTGTCTTTACACAAGTCTTTGGCTCTTTTAGGAAATGTCAGCTTTAATAGCATTAGAGGGAAAAAGCAACATCTCAGCTTTACCTGCTGCCTTTCAAATAATACAAGGAAAAAAATAATAGGACATGTCTCCAGAAGTGTTGCTCCTGAAACAGGCAAAAGTCAAGAGGAGAAGGCTAACAGTTTTAAGAATGTCAGTCTACTCATAAACAACATTTTTGCTTCTCCTCTGATTGGAGAAATGATCAAAATAGACAGGGGAGCTATTTAGACTTACTACTGATCAAAACTACATGAAAGATTGATATAAGCCAACATTTCTGAAGGAAAATACAGTTTTCATAATAGAGCTGGTAAACAGTCTTATATAAAATTGCTTGTTTATTTTCTACCTGGATACTTACTTATTCCTTTATTAAAATATTGAAAACCCAAGAAAGCTTTTTCCAGAGACATAACTCAGGTATCCGCTGTGCATCACAGCACTCAGGATCAGTCCCCTAAAAGCAGTGAAGTCTGAATTTTAACTAGGATTACCTGAACTGGATAAAATATTGCCTGGAGTGTGGGAAGGGTCTCTGTGAAGTATTGATCCCAAATTTCAGACAGGATATCAATGCGATCCTCACCTACAAAAACAGAGATTGGGAGCAAAAAAGGTTTCTTTAGCAAAAGAAACAGTTAAGCCAAGCTGGATTTTTCCATTACCCCCTGCTTTCCCAAGCAAGAGCTACAAATCCATCCTGTCCCTCCAAAAAATAGGCATGACTCAGCTAAGATTTTCCCTAAGTTACAGAGACACAAGGTTGTCACCAGAAATCACTATGTTGTTGCTTATCGTGAAGAGAACAGCTCTGTGCAAAATATGAGCAATTGGTTTCAACAGAAGCATGAAGCATCTCTTGAAGCAAAAGGCTTTATTTTCCCAGTAGAGGACTGCATAATCTCACAGCTCATTGCTGAACTCACACAGGAATGCGGCCACATGCTAGTAGCTCAGAATGAAAATTAGGAGGTCACAGGCAGTATTTCCTATTCTGCAGAAACTGAGACAGGGAGGCAAATTTAAGAACTCCGCCCTCTCCAGCCTCCCCACACTTCCATGTACAGCCACAGAAGCTACAACTCCTGCAGGCCTGTTTGCTCGTGACTGGAGAGCCACCACAAAGCCATCATGCTCCTCTCATCGGTTCTCCTCTCATACTTGGCAACTAGGAAGGGTCCCAAGTGAAGCCCCCTTGCGGCCACCCATCCCGTGAATCTGACTCCAACAAGTAACCCTAAACGTAAGTGGGTGTTTAAACTGGAAGCAGACGAAGTTCTGCTGCTCATGACTTCCATAAAAAGAATACAACTGTGGTCAAAAGGCTAGTATTAGCAAAAATGCTCTACTGAACCTAGTACTTTGCACAGACATTTTAAATTATACTCATATGTTTGACTTACAGAGCTGTGTGTGTCTCTCAGCATTTATGGCCAAGACCTCTAAGCTTTTTAGAAATTTTTCACATCCCAAAGGTAAGGTGTTTCTAATGTTTCTTTCAATCTAGGGGCACCTCCCCCAAATATTTTCAGTGGAAACACAGACCCATATTTAATAATCAAGTTTCTACCATAATACTTTTCCAGGATATCTTTCATGAAGCCTCAGTAGTTGCTCACAAGCAGCTAGGATTCAAGGAACAGTGATGGGAGTTGGCTTCTCAGGGCAGCTTTGAATCCTTAAGCTTATTAAAGCCCCATATGAGCAACTGGAACATACATAAAACTGCAACTCAGATGAGTCTTACGCACTAAAGTGTTTTTCTCATCTGACTTTCAGACAGGCTTTCCTTGTGCTTGTCCATCAGCTGTGCCTCTAGGCTCAAGAGGCAAGCCAGAAGGCAAAGAACCAATAGAGCCAGATTCAGCAAATGTTTCCTTTTGATTAGAGACCCCAGGATCACAAGAGGGCTGAGTGGGAGAGCTTACTGTATCAGAGACTGTGCTGGCTTCAAAATTGGGACTGCAAACACACAAGCACGTACCCAACACCCCCATCACAGCTACCCATTACCAGAAACAGGCATTAGATGAAAAAGAAAACAGGAAACAGACAAATTGATTTTTGAACGTCTCCCTATTCTATTTCCTCCCTAGAACTCTAACAGTTTGGTGTGTAGAACTAAAATGAAATACCAGCTATATCACTTCTTAATCATAAATTACTCTTTCTTCTGAAAGAGAAGGAGGAATAGTTTGTTTCTTCAAGAAATCTTATCTCCTGCAGGCGTTGAAAGAGATTCTGGCAGACTGCATCAAGAAAAATGACATTAAAATAAAAGCCTGTGATTTGAAAAACAGACACAGCAAAACATTGCCATGCCCTGCAGTAAGAACTTTATTCTCTCTTTGAATATTGCAATAGCAGCTCTCTTACAGGAAGGCAAAGCTAACTGAAAAGCACCTAGAAGAAATTCTGTTGCTGTGACCACAAGACCTGGAATGAGGCTACACATTATAAAAGCAAGCTAGGGGGAAAGAGCCCATGAGTCACTTACAGCACAGGTGACAGTCTAGATGGGCAAAGTGGCTCCAGGCCTGCTTCAAATTAGGGTCAAAAAAAGCAGAAGTAGGGGTTTTGCCGTCTGCCTGGGAAACTTTATCTTTCCCAAACTCTTTGAGCAGGAGCAAGCTACTTCCAGGCAGCTTCCACCTTATTACAAATTGGAACTTAATTTTCATAATTCTCAGAAATATTGGAATGGTTTTATATGAACACAAATAACAGAAAACGAAATCGAAGATAAGCTGCTTGGTACTTGTTCTGAAGAGCTGCCAGAGGCCGGTGGACACCCGTGTTCAGGCTAATGTAAATCTGCGGTGTAAATCACTCTTGTTTCTCCCTTACAGGCATCGTGGCAAAGAAGTGCCCTGCAAGTCCTCGTGAGGCTGTCCCCTTGCAGCAGGAGGCTGGCGTACAGGACAGCTCCTTCAAGTGCCCACCTGCCCCGGCCTGCTGGGCGCACGGCCTCTTTGGGAAAAGTGCAGAGTGTCTGCGTGGTGCAGAGGAATCCAGCACCCACTGTGAGGCTGGATTAGAAGCGTCTATTGCCATTGAATGACTCAGATACAGCAGCCTGTTGATTAGTGAGGCATCTTCCCTACAGGCCACAAAAATGGGTCAAATCAAATGGCAGCCTAGTTTTGAATAGACATGTACTCTACACAACTCTCTCTGCTTGAGCAAACTGTTAATAAACATAGCTAAGTCCCACACATCAAACCCTGAGAGTCACTGCCTCAAACTAGCCTTCCTTCGCAGGCTCTTTTGATAGCAAGTATCTGTATCCCAGTGCTCTGAGCAGAACTTCATGTGTAATCAACTTATTTCCTGAAGGGTTTCATTCTCATCAAAGGGAATGTTTCTTCTTTACATTTTTACAAAACCTGCCAGCTCAGTTCTCAAAAGCACAATAACAGAGTATCGTTGTAGCCAGTCATGCTTACAAGACTCCCAAGAGTCAGACTACAGACCTGCAAATCACCTTGAGAAGTAAAAAGCAGAAGGCTCTCAGCAGAGTTTCAAAACAGGATTTGTATCAAACCTAGAACTGTTTTGAACCCATGTTGAGTGTCCATACAAGACTCCTGTTCTCGCAGTGAACTTACAGCTGGTGGGAATGTTCCCGCTCTGCTGCTGTTAAAACAGGCCACCATCCCTTGGGCAGTACCAGGCTGTATTGCAACCTGGCTCCCAAGAGCTCTAAGACAGCACCAAAAAATTACCTCATGGATGCCAAGTTGTCTAAATAGAGCAGAAAGGTCTGTATGTTTTCCAGCCATGTGAATCACCTCATCTGGCCAAACATCAAAGCATGACTCAAAAGGGCCCTCCAGGACCCCATTCCAAAGTGGGTTTCTTACTATACTTGCCTTCACACAGCTTAACCTTCTCCTCTATAAACAGCAAGCCCTTCGCAAGGAGTTGGTTCTGCCAAGAAAGAAGAGAGACATGCATTTGCCTTTTCCAAGACTTAAAATAAACATGGGAGAATATGAGGTTTTCTTCTGATGTTATTCTCTTTACAAGCAGGCATCTAAAGATTAGTCATGTCACAGTTGCTCACAGTGCTGCCATCAGACCTGGCCTCACTGTGAGTTTTGCACATTTCACTAACACTCTTTGATCTGATCTGAAATGAGAACACAGAGGGCACATTAGATACCTGATGCACTTCCCAGAACTGTTTTTCACCATATGGAATAAACTTCTCCTGGTCACAGGGAGGGAGTTAAGAAAATACAATTTTTTTTAACCTAAAACTCCAGCCATATAAGCCACACTTCAGCAATATGGTAGAGGTGATCAAACAGCTAAATATTATCAGAACATCCCACTCTGCTCTTCCTTTGCACTAGTGTGGTGCTTGCCTGACTGCACAATAAATCAATTTATCTCCCTAACGCAGGAACAAAATATTGTCCATCTATCAGGCCATTTTTTTCCTGAACCAACTGAATTATCTCAGTGTGTAATCACAAACTACAAGAGAAAGAGGCAGCAGCTACAGCCTTTCTGAATAATCTTAATTATGACAGACTAGACCAACCAAGATATTGGCAATTCTGGACATCTAAGTATCCGATATCTGACCTGTACGCTTTCTACTTCTGTTTTCCCAAATGTAAAAGGAGTGTTTATAATACTTACCTTTTTCTTCTCCCAAGAGCACTATGAAAGTCTGTCATTCTAAAAAGCTTTGAGACTATCAGAAAAAGGAGCTTCAAAATGGTAATGCAATATTACCAGGTCTGCTTCTACCACACAGATCATACTGACAGCAAGTAAAGCTTCTGTCCTATGAAAGGTTTCAACATCAACATACGACACAATAGTCAGAGGCCTCTTGTGTATCCTCACAGCATTTGTTTTTAATGCATAACTGTGCCAAAGTTGTACCTTTCAACCCCTCCATCAGCTGAGAAGGAAGGCAATGGCTCCCAGTGAACACTGCCTTTACAGTAGGCTGCTGCCCCAACACAGTCTCCGACGAGCTGCCAGCCACAAACCTGCCCTTGTGCTCTGCCTCCTGCTGTAGCCATGTAGCAGGAAAACTGGCTCATTTGTGATACAAGAAAAGAGGTACCAGCATGAGCCAGCCCAAGCAGGGAGCAGCTCCTCTTTCAAGCATCCTCTTGAGGACAAGAGATGCTAAGCTGTGCTGTTCTTGGAGGGATTTTAAAAAGGAAAACAAATGTTGCTTTGTGATATACTTCACTTGAACTTCATTCTCCAGCGCAGGAGAAAGACCTGCTACTCAAAGGTCCTACCTGCCCACTCACAACAGCTCACTCAGTTGTACCTGAAAAGCCACAGATTTCTCCTGAAAAAGTCCACTTTCTGCATTTTTCGGACTCTGGATTTTCCCTCAACATTATGTTTTTCTTTTTTTTTCTCCTGCAGAAGTCTGTTTTATGACTTATTCATCTTCACCAGCATGATCAGGAGTTACCAAAGGTAAGTGCAGGGAGCAAAGGGAACTTGTGAGACAGAAATTTTTCAACTCGGAAATGGATGGGGGGCTTTGTGGTTAGGTTAGCGTTGGGGTTAGCATTAGGCTTGAGAGCCACTGCTGCTGGAGTAGGAGTGAGAGGGGACTGCCAAAGGAAGGGGTGAGCTACGCTGAGAACTTGGCTGGGAGACACTTTTCATCTAGGCAATGGCAACAGCAATGAGCAACAGTAGGATAAGTCCATTCATGTGACCAAAAAATTTGCAATGTTTCCAAACACTGTCATCAACCAGTGGAAAGTGATTACAAATTTTCTATTGTAGAAATATGAGTTCTGGAGAGAGACATCAAGCTGTCTAGATCTACATTCATATTTTAGATTTGCTCAGCAGAAATAAATGACTACAACTTGTTAGGTTCTGGCTTAAAAAAAAAAAACCTAAAACATTTTCAAGGAAAGAAGTGAAAATATGAAAAAGGAGAAGGGAGAAGATATCTGGAGTAGAAAAGAAATATGAGAAAAAAACAAAATACAAATCCACTTACATTATAAATATTTTTTCTATTTGAACAATAAGATAATGAATGTGGAGATGCTACACTTTAATCCTTCTGTATGCTTTCTTTTATTAATAAAATATTTCAATTCTTTGTTTTTCCATCAGCACTTAGTGCTCACAGCTTTTATATACTGCAGCACAAATTTATGGCTCATTTTTAACACTGTGTCATTTTAAACTATTCTATAATTTAAAATATACATACGAATTAATGAAGATGTCACACTCATTTTCTTCTGTTTCCCTCAAGAAATATGAAGCCTTCTCTATCTGTACTAGCACATTAGGTTCCAATTTACATACTCTTTCTCAGTAGCGTGGATACAATTTTTCAGTTAGCATTATTAATTTTTTTTCCTTCTGAGATCTTTTCTATGTTAAAGTTGTATCAGCAAACATAATATGAATTTACATTCCTCAGTGTGCAGCACAGTTCGATGTATTAAAAACTAGATATATTTATCATTATCCTGAAGAATTTATACTGCTGTAATGAATGCATCCATCAGTAATTCCATATGCTAAATAAATTCTCATCCTTAAGATTTCTTAAAAAGGTTTAGTTCCATAAGCATGTAGCTGCTGCAGATGTTTCAGTTATCCCCTCT